TTCATACTTGTTTCTCTGATAATTGGAAACTTAGGGTGCCATCAGAGACTTTGGCTCTTAATTGATAGCTGTTAGGTAAATGATACCGGAAATAACATTATTACAGAAACTTTACTAACCTTTCTCTGGAATAATATTTTTACATTATTCTTGGGCACAACTAGTCCTTTGTTTTATAATTATTATTCTTATTAAAATTGCTGAAGTATAATACACCTGCTCTTGAAGTTATAGACACTGTCTATGACAAACTGAGGAAAAGGGGAAGGTTGTTATTTTCTCTTGTTTAAGATATGAGCTTCTTTTAATTGTTCTCTCCATGTCTTAGTGACCAGTGTTACTCAAAAGTAAAATATAAAAGGGATAAATTAACATGAGAAAGCACTGCTTATTAAGAAAGTAAGAAGTTGGGCAAGGTAGTGAATACCTGTAATCTCAGCACTTGAGAGTCTGAGGTAGGAGATTTGAAGAGTTCAAGGCCAACTTGGACTATGGAATGACTTTCAGGTCAGTCTGCTTATATAGACCCAATCTCAAAAAAGACAAGTAATCAAAAAATAAATCTAAGCAAACTGGAAACATCCACCAGAAGTGCCTCTGAGAGATATTTTATCCAAATGTTAAATAAGTGAAAGTATTAACATATATCTTGCATAAAAATCCAAAGTGACTATCTTTGAAAAATAAATGGTAAGTAAAAATAAAGATCCCTATAAGCCCAATTTAGAAAACATTGATATTTTCTCTTTAGCTCCAAAAAGACAAAAGCTTAAAAAGTCCTTCTTCCAGTGGAAGACTCTCTTCCTAGCTGACATAATTCCTAAAAATATGATCAGTTAGAGAAGTATTTGTAAATTCTTCATCTAAAGCCAATTAAAACCACATTATACTCTAAAATCTTAACTGAGGATATTTTAGTTAAGGGATTTTCATTTTTATTTTAAAATCTAGAGGGACAAAATGTTAACAACCAGAGTCATAAATTGGACTGACATCACTTTTAAAAATAATAGATTAAAAAAGATTATTTCAAGGAATTTGTTTTTGATATGGTTGCAAATATCTAATATTTCTACTCTGCCTCAATTAAAAAAGAATCTGAGGCTTTTTTCAAAGATTCATAAGCCAGCTTTTAAATCTAGCCTGTTGAAGAATGTGTGATACCAATTAGTTCATTATATTTTTTATATATTCATGGCAACATACTTTACTCCTAATCTTTAAAGATTGCTTTGTTCACTAAGAGAGGGAAATATTAAGTTGCCCAGGTATTTTTATAGAGACACACTATGCTATATTCACAAAAAATTGGGAAGATGTTAAATTCTGAGTAATAGGCAGAGTACATAAATGGTAGTTTATTTGAACAGTTGTGGAAAGAAAAATGCCAGAAAGATTCAGCTGAGTCATCTGTAGTTAAGAATAAAAGAATAAGAGCAGTGATGATTTAATCCTTTCATTTTTCTCCCCTCCCCAAATCAAGACTATATAAAGTGAAAAGCCTGTTATGTTCTGAAGAGATTAAGTGGAATGATTTATGCTGATTATATTGTCAAAGTCAAATGATGTATTTCATGGGGGAAGCTAAGGGAGAAGTTAATGCTTAAGGCCTTAGTGCAATCTGTTAGATAATAGGAATCTACACTCACATTTTGGTGCATTCTTAGATTTAGATTTAGTTTTGCAGTCACTTTACATGATTGAGAAAAATATAAAAGCCTAACTGTAACATAAATTGGAGGGACTACATATTCCTTCAATCTGATATAGGGTATTCCTCAAAATTTTCTTTTCTTTCTCTGGAATCTTACTTTCCCATTTTTTTGCCAGTGGCCATGTCACATAATTTCAATCAATATCTATCTATCTATCTATCTATCTATCTATCTATCTATCTATCTATCTATCTATCTGTCTATCTACCAACCTATCTATCTATATCTGACTAATTCTGGTGTGTGGCATTTCTCTTGATAGCCTGCTCATCAGACAAGCGATATTTTAATGTGCACTTGTGATCAAATTTGATGAAATCCATCCAGTAAACCTTCAGTGGATCCCTCATTCACTACAATTGCCCATTTTATGACAATGATGCAAACCTTTCCACTCATTTTCAAAGTTGAGATTCTGGAGTGAACTTGAAATTACAATCATGCAGCATGATCTCAGATAAATCTGACCTTTAAGGCACTATTCACTAATTTATTTAACATTTATGTAACTATATGTAATAGATCTAGGGGATAGGAAGTGAATGTGATAGCTAAAGTTTAAGCTGTAAAATGTAGCTGATAGTAGAGCTCATATGAGGCTAGAATAAAACACAAGGGGATTATTTAGCACCTTGCTTAATAAAATTTGTTAATATTAATAGGAATATTTCAATAACATTACTTGTGTAATTAAATTTCTTTTAAAATTCCTGTGTATATTTTGTAGTTTGTGTTATTAGTAAGCAAGTGACAACATAAGCTTCTTAAATTTTACCTTTTGTACTAGTTATATGAAAACAACACTATTTTATCAACTATTGTTTAAACTCTCTCTGTGGGGGGGTGTTAATTCATGCCAACTGAAGAAAGTGACATTTTCTATTTCATAAAATTGAGTTAGACAAAATGACTATGGTAGGAACTGGCATGATTTATTTACATTATTGAAATGGTTATAGAAATAAGAGGAGTTTCTTGTTTACTCAATGTAGCTCTTTAAGAGGTATACAAAGGAAGAGAGCAAGAAAAGAGATACCTTAATAGAGGGAGCCATTATAGGTTTAAAGAGAAATCTGGCAGTAGGGAAATATCGAGGGATCGACAAGGATGACCCCAACTAAGAATCTAAGCAATAGTGTAGAGGCTAGCTTAAATGGCCTTCCCTGATAATGAGATTGATGACTACCTTAAATGTCATCCTAGAGCCTTCATCCAGTAGCTGATTGAAGCAGAAACAGAGATCCACAGCTAAGCACTGAGATGAACTCCTGGAATCCATTTGTAGAGAGGGAGGAGTGATGAGCAAAGGAGTCAAGACCAGGCTGGGGAAATCCACAGAAACAGCTGATCTGAAAAAGGGGGAGCTCACAGACCCCAGTAGTAAAGCTGAGGAACCAGCATAGGTCCAAACTAGGCTCCCTGCATGTTTGGGAGTCAGTTAGGAGGCCAGGGCAGTCTATAGGACCTCTGGCAGTGGAATCTTCTTCACAAACGGGCTTTGAGAGCCCATTCCCTATGGAGGGATACTCTCTCAGCCTAGATACAAGGGTGAGGGACTAGGTCCTGCCCCAAATGATGTGACAGACTTCGACGATTCCCCCATGGGAGTCCTCACCCCTCCCTGGGAAGTGGATGGGGGGTGGATGGTTGGTGGGGGAAATGGGAGGACAAGAAGGAGAGGGAACTGGGATTGGTATGCAAAATAAGATTGTTTCTAATTGCCATTCAGGTGGCTATCATGGAGGCATTTTCTCAGCTGAGGCTCCTTCCTCTCTGATAACTCTAGCTTGTGTCAAGTTAACATTAAAACCAACCAGTAAACTGCACCACTCAAAAAAAAAAAAAAAAGAATTATATAGAGGGGGAAAAACATAATGGTGGTAGGGTTTGCTACTAGATGTTCTAGAATTGTCACTGAAAGTGAAGCCTCATTAGGCAAATTGTATTTTACTAAATGTTGCATAGAAGCCTGCATAGATTTTTGAAGCAAACAATATGTAAAACATCATGTTTGCAATTTGTCACTAACTTTAAATCCCATTATTACTCTCCGGTTCTTATATAAGAACATCTGAACACAAAATGACATCATGTAAAATAGATATTGGGGACCCTGTGTTGAATGAGTTGGCCTAAAACCTGAAGCAGATGCTTGGAAAAGACACGTGTAAGGGTGGGGGGATGTGCCTCAGAATCACCTGGAGCCGCTTGCACTTGACTGCTTTGACTTTCCAGGTCCCCCTTAGTACCCAGGGTAGATCCGACAGCAAGGACCATCTAGCCTCATCTAGGCGTTTCTGGCTAGAGCCGGGTTCCCGTCTACGGAAGCCCACACCCCGGTTTTCCGCAGGGGCGCTGGGGTCCGGAGGAGTCACCACAGGAGCCTACTCTGCAGCCACGAGGGCGACAGCGAGGAAAGCCAGGGTTCCCATTGTCACCGTAGCAGTTCAGCGGTGTCCCCTCCCCTCCGGGGCGGGGGCCCTACGGGTACCCTCCACTACCTCGGCTGTTGGTTCAACTGGTGGGGCGGCCCGTCTCGCTATCTCGTCTCCTGGGAGGCCACTGGGAGCCATGCCCCTGCCGCCGCACCTGACAGACTGACTCACTAACCGAGCCCCCAGGCTCAGTCAGACTTCAGCTCGAGCCTAGGTCGCCACCACCCCAGGCGCCACTGCACACGCCTGGAGGGCGCGGGTCTGGCAGAGTGCTGCCCCCCAGGGCGGGAAGGCAAGAGCTTGAG